TCAGACAGACTAGTACCTTAGTGGGAGGTAATGGACTGGAATCCTTCATCTCCCCCACTCAGTGCATGACAATCAATCCATTCCCTTTTATGTTACTGAGTGACCAGTTGGCCAGACCATACACCAAGAGGAAATTCAGGGACTAATAGCTAAGGAGCCTGTGCATACAGCTTTATTTCATAAAGGATGCTTGCTATCTTATTTGTTGTTACTGACCTGCCTGCTCCACTTGCCTTCTTACTTTGGGAAATGTCCGTTATAACAGACATGCAAAGGAGCTAGGCAGAGGTCAAACTGTGGGGTAGTAAGATTTCTACTGAAAATGGCACTTGAAGGGCCTTTGTTATCTGAGTATCTAAATGACTCCTTGTTTTAAGACCCTTTAATGCAGCTCTACCCTTACCAATACTAGTTCCCGAGTCTCCCTCACCAGTTTCACATCTGTCGAAAGATCAGTTGTGCCTCCCCTGCCCTTCTAACACCTCCCAGCTGCAGCCCACCATTTTATTGTGGATTTACATAAAAAGTTCCAGTAGCTTATTTGGCCTCATCCCAGGCCTCCAGTTCATTTGAAGGGAGTCACTGGGTCTGATGAAGCAAAGGAGGATGTTATTATTAGTCTTTATGTCCAAAGACTTCCCCAATTTCAAGATCCTGTCAAGGTTCCTTTCATCACTGCCTAGGTGTCTTCTGGATTTACAAATCACATTTGGGCTAAGACTGATACATCTTTAGCCCTAGAGCTGGAAGATCCATCACCCTTGGGGCCTTGTCCCTACTAATCCTGGATTCCCTCCTTCAGTGAGCAAATGGAGATTGAAAAAGCCCAGGCTTTGGGGTAGGACTGATGCAGGCAGCTGCAGATCTACAATAGTGAGCTGTATCCTACCACTGCATTCACAAAAGGAAGTGATTATCCAGGCTGTCCTGTGCTCATTTATGTGCTGGGGAACTCAGCATGGCACAGATTCATATTGCTCCCCTCATGAGTGATTTGATTCTGGAATTCAATTGCCTGTCCAGGAAGCTTACTGAATTCTGCCCACAGGGGAGTTTACCTGCTGTAATGCAGGGTGAACAGGGACTTATCAGGTGAGCACACTGTAGCTCATCCCCAGCCAGATAGAAATTGTGGCCATTTTCTATTTCCCCTGCTCCAGAATTATATTTGTGGGACTGTGCAAGCGCGTGGGGGGGAGGGGGGGGGTGCCCCTTGTGTATTTCATACCATGTGTTTTATGTTTGCGCCATTTCTAACGAAAAGCATCTTATTTAAAATACACCTTCCAGGGCGGCCAGTCGGAGCAGGGTGGCCAGAAGGCCTCTTGGAGCCACCGGTCTCTCCAGATGGGAGTGGTTAGAGATTATCTGGTGGAAGGCGGCATGGTCTTCCAAAAAGCTGCGATTCGAGTCAGCAGGGAACTAAGCTTATGCACTTTGCTAGCCAGTGTCGCTGACAGCTTCGGGAACGCTGGGTGGACGTCTCTGCTAACGTCCTGGAAGAGGAGCCCAGAGCCAGTGAGGACAAGAGACAGAAAGCTACAGAAGAAAACAGTCAAGCCCTCCCTTTCCCCTTAGGAGTCACTGGGGAGGTTTTCCACTGCTAGTAATTCACTAGAGGCTACTCACATGCATACCTAGGGCTACATTAACCTCTCAAGACTCAAGGGATGCCATGCCCTTCACTTGAGTGCGACCAGGAGCTATGCAGCCACATCTAGTGGACTAAGCACAGGGCCAGGAGTTCAAATGGGCAGAGTTCTTATTGTAGCTATGCCACCGCCTTCCACTCTGCAGCCCACAATCAGACACTTAAAAAAGGGACCCAACAGCAATTGGATCCACTCCAGGGGGGCTATCAACATGTGCTCAGAGTGCTCTGGAGATAAGCATCTCTGTGGATAGGCTAAAGCATTAACTCACACTCACAAGAACAAAGGGTGTACTTGTCTCTCTACTCCCAGCTCCCTCACCTATCCCTAGTCACTAAAAGAAAACCAGAACACAAGCCAGCTCTGCAGACTTGTGAAGGGCCAACATTTAGTGATATACAGTGCCATCAACAGAGTATGCGCATGGCTCCATACTTGGCATGACCAAGATCATGGCTACAAGGGGGAACCCTTGGGGCTTAACAGGTGATTGTAGGGACAACAGAAGATAGTCACAGTTAGAGGGAAAAAGGTAGATCAGGGATTGCCCTAAGCTAATGGCAGGGATCAGAGGGGCTTTACTCACGGTCTGTTCACTTTCCAGATTTGCCTGCTGTCTGCGGAGGTCAGCTTTAATGAATGCTGAGAAACAGAAGGCACAGGAGAAACAGGAAGACAGTGAGTTACCACACAGGTCCCAAATGAAGCTTCCTGGAGCTCAAAAGGTAAGGTTAAGTGGGGCACTCCCAACACCTGGATGAGAAAGGAAGGATTTCTTTGGGCACCAGAGAGAGGCCCAGCCATGGAGAAGCCTCATCTTGCTCCATTCCCAGGCAGAGCCATGGACAGGGAGACTGGAACCACCTGCTAGTGACAGAGAGTAGGTGGCGCAGCAAGGAGGCATCAGCAGCACATTGCAGGCACTGCTGTTCCAGTGTCTGTTTTGCTGGAGTTTCCCTGAAGGCACCGTGGTGGGGAAATCATCCTTCACTCTGCATGCCAAGTTCCACATGTCATCTACAGACAGAGACACACTGGGGAGCAGATTTACCAGTTATGATGGTCCCTACAAGCAGGAAGGAGCAAAGGAAGATGTTTCCTGCCCATGTCCCAAAGTGATCCATGATTTGTCCTTGGCTGATGGTAAAAATTATTCCAAAAACCTGCAATACACAAGAACAGATAAAACATTGTTGCTGTTCTGTTTGCTAAACAGCAACAACTCAATGAGCAACTTTCCAACACTATAGTGGATCCAGAACACACAGGCAGGCTTGCAGTTGAAGCTGTATTAGAAATAAAATCTAGAAGACTCGTCTCCTCATGGCTAGAGAGAGGCAAATTTGGCTGGCAGGCTGGAATTCCCTCTCAGCAAGGACAGGTAGAACTTTGTTGCTGAGGGCAACACTGAAGAGGGGCTAGGAGGTCCAGTATCCTGCATGATTTTCCTGGGTAAGTGAGGGGAGGACACCAGGGAAGTTTGGGGTTACCATATTTACCCAAATCCAAGATAACCCTGAAATTAAGACAACCCCATAACAATTAGATTCTATATACATAAGATTTATTAATGTGTTATAACTTTTCCATGCATAGAATCTAATTATTGGAGGATCACTTTAAATTCATCCCTCCCACTGCTGCAGCAGGGAAAATCAGTGGTAGTGGGGACAAGTGCTAGGGCAGACAACAGGGGGCAGGCAGTGAGGTGGGACAAGGTCAAGCAGCTTGCCCTCTGCTACCTGTCTCCTTCACCACTCCCCCCCTCCACCACCACTTCTGTCCCCTTCCCTCCTCACCACTTCCTCCTGCCACAGTCTCTGCCTCCACCTCACCTTTGCTCCAGTGCTGGCAGGCTCTATCCCTGTTCCAGCTCAGAGCACAGACCATGGCCCCAGCCCCACCTAGTAGCAGTGATGGCAGCATGGCAGGTCTGGTACTGACCACAGAGCCTAGCTAGAACTACTGCCACTGCTACCTGGCCATTCTGGGGCCATGCTCAATGCCCCATGGAAATGGGGATAGAGCCTGGGGCAATGCAGCACAGGTAGGGTGGGCACAGGTAGGGGTAAGGGGGATGAAAGGCAGAACTAGTGAAGAAGGAGCAGGCAGAAAGCAGTTGTGGCTCCAGTCCCAAACCCAAGTCAGGCTGAAGCAGCAGCAGCTGCCTGCTCCTCCATTGCCTCATACTTAGTTCCAAGGTGAGGGGCTATTTTCTCCGCAACTTAAATAGGGAGGAAAACCTCATCTTGGAATCAAATAAATATAGTAAATTCTATTATCTGACAACAGTCAAACAAGAATCAAAGGTCTAGCGGGGTCTTTGATAGCTCTGAAGCAGGGTCTCTCTTAAAAGCACAAGGCACAGGTTTCCAAGAGAGGCAGGCTACCAGATGGCATGAACAGATGGTCTGAACCAGATTAGGCCTCAGAGACTTTCAGGGTGCTCTATTGTACAGTTGCTGCATGTACCTGTGCAGACACGTTAAGGAGGCCTGAAGACGTTCCCTCTGACTCTGGATAAGTTAGCTCTGCAGCATACTCAAAGCCCAGGGGCAGGTACCCCGTCATGAAGAACCTACAGAGCAGGAGGTGGAAAGGGAAGAATCAACAGCTGTAAGAGGAAGTAGTGGAGAAAGCAGGAAACAGCACAGATCCCAGTTGCCTCCTAACATTGTGACTCCGCAGAACAGACATGCTGTCCTTCTCCTTCTCTCCCAGCTGCCTGCCTCACTGGCAGGAAGGATCCAGTTCACCTCAAACAATTATGCCTGCAGCCTTGGGACTTTGGGCCAGGCCTGCAGGAGCAGAGAAAACAGAAAGGGATCTCTCCACTGTTGCCGGGATGACACATTCAAGTCATTCCATTAATACTAGTCTGAAGGGTAAAATGCCTGGAATTCTTCAAGATAGATGCCGAGTCCCAGACTGGCCTGTGGACTATTTGAGAACCACCTGCCAGCATAGCTCTCATTGCCCCTCCCTCACTCCCACCTGCTTCCTGAAAGCACTTCAAGCTGCAGCCCCCCATGAGCAGGGTGGTGAAAGGCTGCTGGGACAGAGGGCCAGCAGGAACTACTGCTCATGTTCCTGAGCTCTCCCTGTCAGGGGATTTTAGAGAGACTGAGGGAGAAGAGGACACCCTTTCTCCCTCCCTAGGAAGCTCCAGACAGACCCTGCCCCATCCCCACCCCCTGCTGCTGCTGGGCTGTGTGACCTCTGCTTTTACAGCACTACGGCAGAGGGCAATGCCACAGGCAGGAGGAAGCCTGGTAGTTGGGGTCTGCAGGCATGTGTTCAGGAGCTGCTCCCACTGGGGAGGAAGAGTACACAACAACATGGCACAGGAGCTTACCCCAGAGCACCTGCTGTCACGAAGACCACCCAGAGGTGGCCGAGGCTCAGGGTGAAGGTGTAGACCACCAGGCCCACCAGGGACATGATGTAAACCACAAGTGTTGTATATCTGTAAGACAAAGACCAGTCATCTCACTCTGATTCAACACTTCTTCTGCCCCTTCCACCCGGGGATCTCCATAAATGTTCACACAGTAGCAAGGGAAGCTACACACCACCCCTCCTCCCAGCAGGATGACAGCAAAAGCATCCCTACTGCACAGACAGGGAACACTGAATCAAAACCCAGAGGAGGACCACACAGTAGGACAGTGACAGCCCAAAGCATAGCCCAGGAGTTCCGATTCCCTGGCTTTTCACAGTGACAAGCCCAAATGGAAGTAAGGTTCTATTACATGCAAGTTAAGCAAGACAAATCCCTATTTTTTGCACCTGGACTCTGGGCAAATGATGGCTATGATCAAAAGAGTGTCCTGAGCAAAATAACCAATTCAATTACATTTATCTGGGAAGGGGAGAAGGAGTAGAAGGTCCCCATGATCTCCTAATAGTTTTGTTCTGCAAGAGAACAAAAGGACAGAGGTGACAGAATGATGTCTTAAAAAACTATAGGGGCTTGGTGTGAGAGAGGAAAAAAGGAACCTGTTTTCACAGCAAAGGAGTAGAGAGATGAACTGCAGGGGTAAACAGACATACAGACAGACTAGGATTTGAAGTACCTTGAAGCCCTTGAGGACTCTGATCCAAGCCCAAAGTACCTTCTAGAGAGGTATGGGGGAGAGCAGGGAGACAACACTCAGGCAGAGATGCTGGATAGGTGCTTATTGCACTAATCTCTCTTTTGTGCTGCCTATATAAAAAGCAAGTGCACTATAAACCTTTGCAAAGACTGCACATTACATACTTCAATGTTATATGTCCCTCGAAAGCTGTACTGTAACCCAGAGCACTTTGAAGTCTGGAGCTCTGGGAAAGGGTGGTTTTTACCTACTGAAATATGTTGGGGAAGGGGAGAGATTAGGTTGGGTAGCCAAGATACAAGGTTCCACTTCTGTGAAGGGCTAACAGATAGCCCGTGCTGAGGGAGTGGCTCAGAGAGGCCAAGGAAAGAGTCAGTGCTGGAGCCAGCCTGAACAAAGAAGGAATAGGAATAAACTCCAGCAAGACCATTTCAGGCTGGACATAAGGAAGAATTTCTTCACTGTCCAAGCCCCCAAGGTCTGGAATAGCTTGCCACCGGAGGTGGTTCATGCACCTACATTGAATGCCTTCAAGAAAAGTTTGGATGCTTATCTTGCTGGGATCCTATGATGCCAGCTGACTTCCTGCCCCTTGGGCAGGGGGCTGGACTCGATGATCTTCTGAGGCCCCTTCCAGCCCTAATGTCTATGAAATCTACAAGCACAAAGAGCACACAGGCCCAGTGAGACTTCACTGGGTGAGTCACACATTGTCCTCACCATGGCCAGCAGTGGTATCTCATAAATGGTGCTTTTGTTTGAACTCCTCTGGGTTCTAATCTAAAGCTGCAACACCTCATTGTTGCATTTTTTTTCCAAACAAAACTCCAACCTAACTTAATTTTGAAGAATCCAGGGCTCTAAAATGCCTTGCTATTAACAACTCCTGAAGCTGGGAACTGGCCCAGAAGCTGAGACTCATCCCTTTTCTCTAGTGAAAAGGTGGCTGAGAGATGTGATGACCACGTGTGGTCAGGACTGCGTTTCATTTTGAGTGGTAAGGCAGTATCAGCATGCAACAGAGGAAGGGACTAGAGATTCTCAGAACACACGCTTCTCACTTCTCTGAGCCTGGAGTTTTCTGGCTTAGTGCTGGGGATGGGTGGTTGGGGAATACAACTTACTATCCTTTCTAGGGCCTTTAGACAAGACCAGTGCCCCTATGGAAGCACAGATGCATCATTCATTGAAGGGGACTGGTGACCAGTCTACTCTGGATACAGGCATCTACTGAATGTTAAGACATCAGCAAGCTGAAAAGGTACCACCTACCTTTGGAGAGTGGGAGGCAAATATAGATGGCACCAGAGCAGAGATGCCTCCCTCCTCCTCTGCCCACCGAGTTGCTTTGGGTGGACAATGAATTGAGAGACACAGTGACACAACAAACCTGTTAAAAACCATAGGCTGGGAGCATGAACCCCAGTAGAGCTGCAGCAACACATCAGGAGGTACAAGTCAGAGTCAACATCCACCCAAAAGCAGAATCCAGCTCCATAGCAGTCCCTGGATGTAGAGAATTGCCCCCAAGGTGGCAGTTTGGGGATTTCCCCACAGCCAACCCTTCAGTGCAGCAGATGCTGCTCCCTACAGAAAACTACTCCCAGAGACTCATTCTAGCAGGGAAAATGTAAACCAGATCTACCAATTAACTGATACTCTGAGCATCCCACACACCAGTGCTAACAACATTCAGCTAAAGAAGGCCTGCCTGGCATAGGGACATTGCAAGCAAAATGTCAAGATGCCCTTGGCTCTCAGAGGGTTGCACTAGACATGCTGAGACAGAAAGAGAAAAAAAAAAAACCCAAGGGGAACAAAGAGTAGGAAGGAGGCATTTCACAGGGAACTGAGTTCAGTGCTGCTCTCACAGGGCTAATAAAGGTTACCCTACTGGGCACAGGAACAGACAGCATTCCTGAGAGGACTTCCTCCTATGGAGCTAAATGGAAGCAAATGACTACTAGACTTGCTATGCAACAACTCCTTCCTGCTGTTTCTGAAGTGCTGTGAAGCAGGGCTGGGTTAACATGTGTTGTTCTTAACAGCCTGGCTGCCACTTGCTGCCATTTCTGGATCACTGCATGCAGCACAGCTGGGTTCATGCCCGTCATCTTTGGAAACCTTGCTGCTGTTATAGCCCTAGGAGACGGGAATACACCCCATCACTAACTGCATTGTTGCTGCTCTGTAATCTTCAGCTCTTTCCAGTGCTGTGTGATATGGCCCAGACTGGCACAGCTGGGGCACGTGATGTTCTCAGCTTCCCTGAATGGAATTGTTGCTGCACAGAAATCATAGTGTCAAGGACTTTGCGGTTATTCAACAGCATCTGGAAGGCAGGTCTCAGCAGCAGGAAAACAATGCTGAGTTTGTTTCAGAGGCTTGCGGCTATGTGGGAGCAGTGCTGCATTGGGTGGTGTATCGTGTGTACTCAGTGGGCTAAGCTCATCCCTGATACAACTTTACTGACTTTGGGCCACAATGAAGGATACATTTAGCCCAGTGTGGGCAGGACACCAGACATTGGGCCCAGTGCAGGTTTCTCTAAAACCCCAAATATGCATGCAAATATTCTACAGAATCTGCATTTTTTTCCCTCAGTGAAAAGCCTGTGTGTTTTGTAATGGTGCCTACCTCAGGCAGGCAGATGCTCTGGTGATGGCACAGGCAGGTACTAATGCAGACAGATGGCATCAAGAAGCCAAAGGCAAGCACACGAGAAGCAAAGCTGCCAAATTCTGTTACTTTAAGTGAAAACTGCATCTGCCCTGCTGAAGATCCTGTCCTATGGAATCAGGGCATAGAGACAATGTTGCAGGGAAGGATACATCTTTGTATCCTTTCTGAATTTGCATGACATGTGACCAGGAGTCAAATGGGCCTGTATCCTTGTATCTGTGCTGGCAGGCAAGGCCAGAGGCAGACCTAAGACTGAAGACCTGCTGCTTTTTATTTGGGATATTCAGGGCACAAGGTTGATTCCTGAAGGCCCCCAGGGCTGTCTTCCAACTGGCCAGCTCTCCAGAATCTGGGCTGCCTTCAGTGAAAGGGTATAACAGAACCTCCTGAATGCAGATGGGACCTTGTCTACTCTTGAAATAATGTGTTTGGGCTTATACATGGTTCCAAGGATGTGCTCTTGGGAACACTCTCCAAAACAGGGGGCAGAGCAGCTCCTGGTGGAAACCAGAAACCTGGCTGGACCCTTGAGTCTGACTGGGGGAAAGGGTGAGATCCTGGGAGGCTGGAAACTGCCTTAAGTGGCTCCTATTGCTGGTGACTCTCTCAGCTGAATTACAGTTAGAAAGCTGATATCACTAAGCACTTGTTAAAAACAGAACATAAGCACTGCATTGTTCCAGCCTGGTTTACATCCTACATCTTGCCTCAGATGCCCCCCACATCCCCTTCCACTAACAGTGCAGATCTCAATGTCCCTTTCCTTACCTTCTCCCATTCCCATCTTCATGCCTATTGCCAAGCCAGCCTGCTGCCCTCTCTTCCAAAGACTGGCCTGTTCCATGAGCATTGCAGAGGAAAGGCATTTTCAGTAACCAAAAACTGAAGACACAAGGGGTTTAATAGCAGCCTTCAACTACCTGAAGAGTGGTTCCAAAGAGGATGGAGCTGCTTTATTCTCAGTGGTGGCAGATGACAGAACAAGGAGCAATGGTCTCAGGTTGCAGCAAGGAAAGTTTAGATTGGTTATTAGGAACCACCTCTCACTAGTAGGATAATAAAGCACTGGAACAGGCTATTCAAACAGGCTGTAAAAACTTCCAAGGATGGAGATTCTAAGACCCAGCTAGACAAAGCCTCGGCTGGGATAATCTAATTGGGGGTGGTTCTGCTTTGAGCAGGGGGTTGGACTAGATGACCTCCTGAAGTGACAACTGTATCTGCCCCTCCACTGAGAAGCCTCTGGTTCTGTGGCACAGACTTGGCAGCTAGCACAGCTGATGGCTGCATTTCCATGTTGATGCCCTGGGCTTATTAGGCCCCAGGGGTTGCAAGTGGTTTAACCCTTGTCATCCCAGTGTGATGGGATGTTGCGTCAGGTTGCATAGAAGTGCAAGACTCCCACATGGCTGGATTGCCAGCCACACACTGTCATTTCAGATCCTTCTCCCTGTTTTCCTCCTACTAGCTTATGACCCTTTTCACACTGGCCTGCAAGAAAAGCCAGATACCAGCTGGTTCTGGAAGAAGTGCTATGGCAAAGCTGACTGTCCAGGTTTTCTGGCCAGATCAGGTAAGGTATCATTGTAACCAGGGCACCAAAGCTTAGTCTAGAACAATCAAGTGAGCTAAGCAGCAAAAGGCTCCCACTTGACTGTCTTATGAGGAAGCACCCAGCCCCTGTGAGGGCAGCAGCTCACAGTTTAGGTTGCTCAGGGACACTTAGCTGCATACTGGCAGATTCATAGATGTTAGGGTCGGAAGGGACCTCAATAGATCATCGAGTCCGACCCCCTGCATAGGCAGCAAAGAGTGCTGGGTCTAGATGACCCCAGCTAGATGCTTATCTAACCTCTTCTTGAAGACCCCCAGGGTAGGGGAGAGCACCACCTCCCTTGGGAGCCCGTTCCAGACCTTGGCCACTCTGGGAATGTGTGCTGCCAATGCCCATCTAAAAGAAACAGACCCTCACTTGCCCTCACCGCCCCCCACCCACCCATCTCAGCTACATCTGCCCTAAATAGTGACATGCACACAAAGGGCCTCTGGGCACAGGAATCAATGGGTTTCTCCAACTAGGAGAGAGGATGGGGGTTGTCAGATCACAGCCTCTCAGAGGCTGGTTTGTAAGGCAGAGAACAGGTCTTGTACTGTCCCGATTCCTCCAGTGCTGGGAACTCACTCAGCCTTAACAAAGCTGCCACTGGACTATCACCTCCCTACCTTCCCTGGGGACTGGTGGGAACTCAGTCACAGCTATGGAATTAAAAATCACACACACCCACCATGCTGCCTTCTAGCACAAGATGGGAGCCCACACATGGAAGTAAGCTATGCTAAGAGCAAGGTACTACCCTTTGTCCCAGGTAGGAAGACCTCCAGCCCCCATCTCACATTGCCACCTGTCCTGCCCAAGGAAGACTCAGAGTATGTATGTACCTACCCACTCTCCCCTGCTTAGATGAGCTGCTCAGGCCCTCTGCCTGCTCATACCCCAACTGTCCTCCTCAGCTCCCGCCCTGACACCCCCCCCCCGCCGAGTGACGCTCCG